ACCCGCGGAGTTGAGTGTTGAAAAATAAATAAAAATAACGATTTGGAAATTCGTATACAGTTGCCAAAAGTGTGTATAGGTGTGCTTATATACCTATACTTAATACATATATATATTATATATATTTATATATATAATATATAATAATATAGGTATATGTATATTTATGTACTGTGCGGAGCAGTAGGTATATATACGTTTCGAGTGGTCAATTGTAATTTTCGTATATATTTTGGGTGTGTGCATATATATTATATATATATACAACGGAAGAGGTGGTCTTTGGAAAAGTGTAGTGTGTATACTATTCGTCCCTCGAGAAAGTTTTCCGATCTCGTTTTTGGTTTGCTTATTCATGACTTCGGGCGAAATAAAATATCGTCGACAGTGGACACGGACTATACGTCAAGCAGAAATGGCCGTGGCGATTTTAACAACTCCGATATAAAGTTGGTCATTTTTATGTCTTGCGTGTTAGTTTTGAATTTGTGCACTTTTTATTTTCGCCTTTTTATCGTTCGTTGACCTACCTATAAACGCATTTATAGTGATATATAGTGTGTGCACCTATATATACATATATTATATATATAATGAGAAAATACGATATATACGATCAAAGGTTTGTATTATTATCATATCAAAAGTACATTTTATCGCGAAAATTAAAATATTATCTGTTCAGATACCTCACAAGGCTGAATCTGTGCATTTTATTTAACTAATACATTTCTTATGACTTTAAGTAGATCATTTCACGGAAATCATTCTCACTAGTCCTTTATTCAAATCCAATTCCGTGATTTTTACCAGTGAATAAATACCAATAATATGCCCATAAGAAAACCAAACAAAAGGTCACGTTTACTCAAAGGTTGCTATTATAAAACACTGACAAATGAATTTTAATGTATAATATTATATTGTACTTACATATATTATTTAAACATTTCATCATTTATCAGTCAAAGAATACAAAAAATGCACGTTTCAATTATTTTTATTATATTGACAACTTACTTTAATATTAATGAAACAATTCATTTAAAATTTATAAAAATATTAAATATGTACTTATGTTAGGGAATACTATTACATAATTTTAAAGACAGAGATTTAAATATTTAATATAAACATTCTTAGGTAAGTAGTATTTTAAACTTAAAAATACGTTAGTTATGAGTACTGAGTATAGGTTATATGATGACTAAATTACCTGTACAACCTATAACATTTTAAGTACCTAACTCATTAGTTTAATGCCATATAATTATTTGAACTTGTAAAAAGAAGTATTTTGAATAGTACAACCCGTAATGTGCCAAAGTTATTTTCCTTTTCATTTCTATTAGCGACTTCGCGACTTCTACGGAGTTTTAATTCATTGTTTTTTAAACTATACCTATATGAACCATTCATGTTAATTAATAAACTTAGATTTTTATATTAATACCTGTAATAAAATTGTATTTTATATCCCAACAGGATCATTTTAATATGTTTCTTCTGAACAGAGTTAACATTTAAAATTTTCATTTGGTACATTTTATATTAAATTAACATTATTTAGTCAGTATAGGTGATATAAAATTACAGTGTGTGTTAAATATCAGTAGAACTGATCAAAATAAATTAAAATATAAAACTTTTGGTACTTATTGACACTATAGATTTTATTTTACAATAATAGTTGATGTTATATTTTAATGATACAACAATGTTTAATCGTTGGTCGAATTCCTAAATGTAAAATGTGTATTAATTATGAACACAATATCGTACAAGCAAAACTATATATGTCTTTCTATATATTTTTAAGTTATAATTTTTAGCTATATACTATAAAGTGCCATATCGACAACAATTTTAAATGGGAAACATATGACTAATGACTGTCACGTCAAATAATTATTTAAAGAGATTTTAAAATTAAATTTGTCTTGTAATTAAGTTATATTCTTATGTGATACATCTTCGCAAATTGGACACTTTTTTTTTATTATTATTAAATTTCAAAAGCATTTAGCTTGAAATGTTTAAATGGATAACAAATGGTATATACTGTTTACCATACAGCGCATACACATAATATGAACAAAACTAATAATGTCTATAAAACGCGTGTATGATGAATTTGTGTATAAATGCATTACGTGTTGTATAATTGCACAATTGTGCATGCACCAGCGTTGTGCATATGCATATAGGTAATACACAACAGTATTATAATGCGTATACTTTTGAATGGAAGTTTTGTCTAAGCAGTGTAAATTATATCCTGTCAACCGACCAAAGTGTGTATTTTATCGTGACGCAACCGGAACACGTTTAAACAGTGGATGGGGGAGGACTTGATACAAATTCGCGTGATACAAATTCATTTTTATATCACGTTATTCTATGTCGTGACGTTCGAATAAAGAAGCAAGCTGAGGAACACTTTGTCTCGTGTTTTATTAATGTTCCTACCTCGGCCGCATTTAGTATATATCTGTGTGCCGTCCGCACATGTCTGCTCGGCTTTTAAGAATAATTATTATCCAAGTGGTTGACGTTATGAAGACGTGCAACGCAAACTTTTTGACAATATCGTTATTGTTGTTACGTATTACTGTAATGAATTATATTATGCTTACTTACTTTCAGACTTTTTACACGGTCGGGAAGAGTGTCATATTTTTAAAATCGAATACTTACTGCGTAACTCGGCGATATAACTCGATGTACGCACCGCGTCATCGTCATCAAAAATCATGTCTTTAAAATAAAAACTGTTACATCCATAAACATAATATACTCATAATTATCGTTTTGGACGCATCGAAATTCGTCCGCTTTTGTTTTGTGGTTTTATTTTTTACTAGTCTAACGACCGTGTGTCAAGATACTCACGCGCGGAGCAAAAAATAACAAATGTGGAACATCATAATATTATTGTATTATATATCGCCCACGCGTTTTATTATAATACATACAAGTGTACAACAATATTAGACTCGAAATGATGTTTTATGATAATGGCAAACATGGTGTATATTATATTTTAATTTTGGCAGAAGAATCAAATGTGACACTATAAAATAATCCCGATGGAAATTTCTATATTGAGCACTTGTTTCGCTTTACACTTAAATGTAGAACAGTGTGTGAAATACAATAATTTGTACTTTTAACTAAACAATGACAATATTATTGTAATTATTAGCTGATATTCCTGACGTGACTGTATTTATCCAAAATGTTTTCAAGATTTCTTAGAAGTATAAACTGTGTGGAACTCTGCAAGCTTTCGTTGGCCTAAAAAAATGCATATAAATATGCAACTAGTATTCTGGCCCACTCCATCAATAGCTTAAAATAAACACATAATATTCACAAGTACATGACGTATGACTATTATGCATGATGTATTATTTTAACCTAAACTATTATTTCCAATGCGTTTTAAAATATTGTTATTAACTTCTCGTATATAATTCCTATTCATTTGAAAGTTTTTATTTCGATTATTACGAGGACTTTAATGATTTAAATACTGTTGGTAAATATATTTTGTTTTATTTTTCGGATAGTGTGGTAAAGCCCCAAAATAAATGTATCGTTTGAATTATACATAGGTACTTTTAAGAGGTAGTTTGTTGATTTTCTATTTAAGTACTCTAAATGACTAAATGTAAGACAAAATGATCAAGTAAGATTTTAAATTCTAACTGAGTTCTTCCCACGATTATCTATCATTGCTCTCAGTCATTCCTATCAAACATATATGATTAAAACACCACACTAATCTACAGATAGGACAAATAAGTTGTCCTACAAATCGTCTCTATACCTTGTTCAGTTTATTGTGCGTATATATAAATGGGTGCGCGCCCACATGTCAGCTTGTGTGTGTGTGTGTGTATCGTATTTTAATATTGATGATAATATTACTTACCTATCATAAAATACATATTATGGTGTAATATCACTGGGAGCCATCTGTTCTATTGAAATGTTGATAAAATATATTCTCTTTACGTCTTCAATTGAAACTTGAAACCTTTCCGTGTTATTTATCCTTTATAATTTACAGATAATAAATTACAATTGGATCTTATAAATCTTGATGAATACATTTTACGTCGTTCAATATTTAAATATTTTAATAACGTAATGTACTCTTGCACATTTCTAAGTGATCATATTTACGGAGTTTCAGACCGTAAGACTGTAATCAAAATTGTATGAAAATATTAGTACATATTACATTAATCATTATAACACACATCTTGTCTTATTTTATTCCAAACAAATGATATGCTAATTTAGTAAGTAATTTATTCTGTTTATAAAGTCAAATCAACAACACTGGTATAAAGATGGTATAGTTCACTTAGAAAGCTGGAGCACTTAATAAATATATACTATATATACATATTGTAATATTCCAACTCGAGTACATATTTTCAAATTATAATTTTTCGTTTTCTTTATGTTATTATAATAATATATTACGAACAACCGATCGCATTTATAATGTTAAATATTATACACCGTTTTTACGTTTCGACTAACTGTGCATTGAAAATAAAATTTAGACATATATACGACTAAATAAAATTATTAACGATTTAAAAACTATAATATCTTTAATTATATCATATATATATGTATATATATGTATATTAATATCGATATCTATACAACTTTTGATGTTATATTGATATGTGTTGTATGCTTGTTTGTTTTTATACAAAACTAATTTCATATATTTCCATTTTATTACTATCGTAGTTAGGTAGATATGTAGTCATAATCTAAAATGAAAAGCAATTTTGAAAAATATAATGATTTCATATTAAGTATTAATTCCATAATTGTTTTTGCTCCTCGTTTTAATAAAATTACATTAGACTATACAAACATCGAGACGTTATAATATTATAACTCATATTGTTTGTAACAATTTATTTTAAACGGCAAAGTCGTATTTATGAAATTCGTAATTTAATTTTCAGGAGAAAAATATGAACCGGAAGAGTTTGTCACCGAACAATATAAAACGCGGATGAAACTCACAATTAAGTCTGTTACTGCCGAAGATTACGGCACGTACAAATGTTTGTCAAGAAATGCACTCGGAGACACGGATGGCACAATAAAAATATACCGTAAGTGTATGTTTGTAAACGTAATTATTATTTAATATTTTTTTTTTTACGGAGCGTATTACAATGAAATGAAACGTAACTGCAGTTTATTTATACTCGTTTATTTTTCTATACATTCACCTACATACATAGAAACAAAATGGTACCATTATAATTAGGTAATCAATTAAATACTACTTATAATAGTACCTATATTATACAGTTAATCACGGAAATATTGAGTAAGGAAATCATCAAACATTCATTGAATGTATTTTACAGTGTAATGACCATGTAAAATTGAAATAATTATATGATTCATATAAAAAAAAATATATAATATTAATGCTACGCCCTTAAGTATAATACTTATAGTTAACAATTACACTTAAGAAGTGCTGACATTTTGACTTATTACCAATAATTATCATTTACTATACGAGTATGTATAAAAATCTACTGTTTAAATTTTTTGAAGGAATTCGATAAAAATAAATCTGGTAAGGAAAAATAAAAAAAACAACAAACCACACGTTTGATGCAGGTTATACGCTTAAAATGCCTATTCAGTACAAAAAGTCAAAAAGCGTTTATAACGGACATTTTAATGCCTCCCGGGGTTATTAAAAAAGATATATTTTGTTCAGAAAAAAAGTTCATTAGAATTTAATATAAAAATTGTACACCCATTAATATAATACAAATGGAAGTTGAAACTGAAACATAAGGATTCAAAATAGTTATACATTTATGATTAAATTTGTTAACGCTATAATATAATAAACGTAAAAAATAAATAGATCAGAAATGTTTAATTATCAATACGAACAATAATAATAATATTTAATGTTTTGTATTATTATTATCAGTATATTATATTTTATTTTACTGTTGAATTAGACATCGCGTGTACACAATCGAATTCATTATGATTTATGATTTATTTTAATATTATTATACCACGATTATTCAATACTTCCATAGGTTTTAATCGTGTTAACGTTGTTAATCGCTCATTTGAAATGTTCATTTTATTTGGCTATTCATAACGACTATAATGATAATATTAAACTGATGAAAATAATAATGATGATAGGATTTTCGAAAATAGTACGCTTACGTTCAATATAAAACAAAATTAGTTTTTTTTTTTAATTTTAATTTTAATGTTGAACAGATAATTAACTGTATTTTAGTTCTGTACACTTCAAACGTTGGTATTCAAGACCAAAGTCAAATTATCTTTGATTAGAAATATTTTTTTAATTATATTGACGTTCACCTTAATGCATTTTACTCCGTTCTGGCTACAATATCTAAGATTTTAACTATATTGTCTTAAAATTATTAAATATATACTTTTTAAGGGACAATTTTTTGAAATACATAGATTTTATATCCCAATGAATGAAGGAGTGTCCAGTGGTGGTGATACAACCTTTTTTCAAATGAAGTCGCTCTTTGTTTATATAAAATTGTTAATTAGATGACTTTGAAAATGAAAATGTTGATGTATCTAAATAAAAATTTGAATAAGTAGTTTGAGTTATTTAATTTTGAACACTAAATAGGTCAATGTTAATGAGTGGTTGAACGATATGGGGGTTATGAAGATTTCACAATTTAATTAATTTATGTTATTCCACAAAAATTATATCATTTATAAACACTGTCCAAGTTTAATAAATAATAAATTCAATACCTAATGACATATTATAGTTTATATTTTATATGTTTGTGCAACCATTTTTAGGACTATTATCCTTAATATATACATTTTATTAACTCACAAACTAATGGTTCGAATTTGATTTCGATACATCAACATTCCCCGAAAAAATATTTTCTTGACAATTTACAGTAAAAAACAGTTTAAAACAAAGAAGTTTGTGTCATCACAGAACACTCTTTAAATGGTATAAAAATGTAAATATTTTAAAATGTGGTTCTCGAGTATACTTAAAGACTAGTTATTACTAAAATCCGATTTTGAATAAGTTAAAATAAACATGTGGATGAGCACTGAGCATACTTAGTGAATCACCCTGCAGTATAATGCATAGGGTGTTATGAAATAGAATATTTTATTTTGAAATTAAGATATTAAATATTATATTATATTATATTTATAATTTATACGGCTATCTATACAATCAAGCATAATTAATATAGAAAATTAGATCATTTAAAATTAAAATTTATAAATTATAATAATCTAAATGTTAAGAAATATATACAATGATCTTCAGAATAGTTAGATAAAAAAATGAGTTACAACCTTTGCCACTAGTGTTACACATGCAATTTAAATTCTTAGCGAATGTACGGTACCTACTAACTTAGTGTTGATTGATTTTATTTAGAGCACATGGGATTCTACTCGACTCGTTTCGATTAACCCTTTTGCAGTAGTAATGTGGCACTTCGATGTGTAAACCAATGGCAATAAACAAGTTTACACGGTTAGACACTATAATGTGTATATGCATAACCCAGTAAAAGTGCACGAGTGATGCACACGCATCAGTAAATTGAATTTATTTCATAAAATAGTTTTTATTATCATCTCCATTTGCAACGAAAACGGTATTACTATAAAATTGTACTGGCATCAGTGCCAGTTTGGTTTGGTAAAATCATATTATTATTTTTTTATAATTTTAAATGATTGGATATTCTTAACAATGTTTTTAACTCTAAATGTTTTTGTTTGATAAAATATAGAAGTGGCTAATAACGGCGGACACAGCACTACGCGACCCAAGCACAGATGTAAGTAACAACTTTTTATTTACTATACAACAAATTCTATTACACTAATACTATACTACAATCCGAGTACAGCAGTTACTCGATATTGATGCGAAATACGTGTACTCGTGCTTTTATTTGAAGCGTATTACTTATACAACAATAATAACGAATATATTTAAAATATATTTTATTTTGACACACGTCTCGACAAAATATGGTTTATATTATGTTTTTGAAAATCAAAACAATAAGACATAAAAGACATCCATTAATGTTTTATTCGTGCGCATTGAAAAAAAAACACAAATCACATGTATGGTATTTCAGATGCAACCTCTTTATACATATATACAGAATAATTCATCAAGCACGCCCACAACACTTTTATCATTTAATAATCTATTTATTAAAATTTTGTTTTTTTTTTTTTTTGTATTTTGAATAAATGCATGATTACTTAAAGGAATAATTGAGGGTGAGCGTGCTTGGTAAATACCTCAATATACATATTAATATATTATACGTAACCGTGTCTAGAGAAGATTAATGGATATAAAGTGGATTATTATTTTATGTAAAACAAATTGTGTGTGCAAAAATTGTATTGCAACAACTCATATTTTATTTGTTAAACCAATATAAATGGATTTAATAATTGGATAGTGTTTTACAATGTTTTAAATATTACGAATATTTGGTGTTCCCATCAGTGTACAATTAAACATATAACAATATGATAATCTTTATTGATACGTGTAATATTTATTATATAATTTATAATATAGATAATTTTTGTTAAAAATAAAAAGTAAACAATAGATAAACCCTTTAGACCAAAGACAATGGAGGGAGAATTCAAGTGACTTGCGAATTGTTTCGTTTCACGTTTTATTTTTACAATTACATTCGTGTAGAAACACTCTAGGACGTACGAGCATAGTGTATATTATGTAGTTACACTTGTTTTTATATAATTATTATTGTTGAAACATAGTACGAAAAATATCTTATAACGATGCTTCTGTCGCACAAAACGACTACACGAGACTAGGCAACAATGGTAAGTAGGTATAAAAGTATAATACGTTCGTATGTTCCGTATGTGTTGTTTACTGTTTGATTGTAAACGCTCCTATATAATATGTTGTATAAAAATATTGTGCCCTAGAAGATTGGAAAATTCATCTTTTTAGCATAAAAACAGGCATACAATACCTTAAACTTTTATTTAAGTATATACAATTTCTTTTTATCGCACTTCCGTACTTTTTGTATATTATTTTACTCTATTAATTATAATATTATTATATACTATAAAGCTAAATAAAATACTAGTACCTACTTGTAATTACAATTTATCGTACCTACCATAATTGTTTAACCAAATTGCCTTCATTCCCATGACTAATTTAATCGAATTTCTTTTTTACAATAACGTCTACAGTACTCTACACGCAGTACCTATTTACATTTTCAAGTTCGAAATAAAAATATATACAATGATTTATCTTATTATACTATATAAACACGCGAATCGATAGGTAACTTAAACTCATTTTATAATATTATATTTTATATATATATATTATTAGAAGAATATAAATTCGTAAACCGTTTGTTGAGAATTGAAAATAATATAATAGGAACAGATAATGAAGTTAAATTAACCCTCGTCTTATCAAAGGTAATTGAGTATTAAATCGTTGTAAATAAATACAGAGGCCCATAGTAATAATATAAATAGTTATTAGAGATACAGTGCTTAGTAAATGTCACTTTGAAAAACAATATAAATATAATAGCAAATAAAAAAAAAACCAAAACACGTATATAAAATAATAATTGAAGGATTTTATGATAATTTATTATTCACTTCTAAAAAGCACTAATCTGCTGTTTGTCTATTATACAAATATACAATACTGTATGGTGAAAAAATAACCAATAATTTTAAACGAGTTGATACACTTCAAGTGACCTAGTTTATTTTGCAAAATTATGAAATTTCCAAGTAGCCATTGACACACATATAAATGATGATACTATATAATAATATATTTATACGAGAACGAACTATCTCAAATTTCGTCCGTCCGTGAGTCATCATCAAATACCCGTAACTCGATCCGTCTTAAACACAAACGGAAAAACTTGAATGATTTTGAATCGAGTTTTTCCGTTAATTTCTCCTTGATTTTACAACATGGCGGATCCGGTCCTCCCAACCCTTAACTGCAAACTCAAAAACATCAAAACCCCCGCAGGATTTCCTCCTGGTTTTCACCCTCGACCCTTGTCCACGGTGATTGTCCTCGTGTAGTCGTCATCATCGCGTCTCGTCGTTGTATATAAATATATATATCATGTTGGATCCTATCGAATCACCGCAACGCGGTTGTAAATTATTTATACACGATCGACGAATATATTATATATATATATATATAAAGGTACCTACAACACCTATGATATAAATATAGAACAGGTGAGATGGAGAGGAGGGCAACATCTAAGGAGCAGATATTGATGGTCTCTATTGTTTTGGCCGCACACGTCCGAAATAAAGCGATTTACTCTAGAATATGACTGGTGTACGGTTTTGGCTGAGCGGATGGTGAGCGGTGATGAGTAGGGCGCGGTGGCAGTTGAATAAAACATTTCGGCGGACTCGATCGTTTCCAACGCGATCTAATGGGGTTTTCGAACGCGTTCAGTATATATAGGTACTCCGCTGTATATCGTGTTGTATGTGTGTGTGTGTGTGTGTGTGTGTGTGTGTGTGTGTGTGCCCGATTACTTGTCCCGTTTGTTGCTTAGGTGCGAGAAAAACGGATTTTTAATTTTCACTCGAACTCCAAAGATTGCTACGTTTAGCGGCTTAACAATAAGGCGTCCAAAATGTGTTTGCGTACCACGATTTCGTCCATTATTATCATTTTTTTTTAAAATTTAATTTAAATTTTTATACATGCTGTTTTTTGGGGGGATATTGCCCCAGCACCTCTTAGTCTCTCAAATAGTCACCTGTGTTTTCTCGTTCAATTTTTACACTGTGGTAATACGCACAAACGACGAATATTTTTTGCAAGTTAGAATAATTTCGTTTCGCCGAGTCAGAGTAGATACACCTAACCTGCACTGTACCTGAGTAAACATCCTAAGAGTCGAATATATTTTTAATATTAGTGAATTTGGAATAGCATAATACATCAATTTTTAATAGTCAAAGACCTAGCTACTAAACATAGACAGCTTTTCTATTTTCAACTAACTCAACTACATTTTTTTGTTACCTTCAATTTTGTGACATTTTATTTTATTATTTTCTGCGCATAAAAGATAAAATTAATAACTGTAATTAACTAAATTAAACACTAGCTACTAGATTACTTCTATTTATTAGTTATTTAATTATCGTTGAAAAATGCACTCGTTTTGTACTTTATCTTTATGGACCTTGTAGGTCCTATTATGTAACGTTTTATTTTTAATTAAAATAGTATTTTTATTTTTAGACAAACTTAATATAGGAGTATAGTACATAAGAATATTTTTTTATTTTTTCAATTATTCTGTACATGAAAATACTCAATGAAACATGTATAACTTTCTCAGAATATATTATTATTATTGGTTAAGTTACCTAGCTTGTGTTAGTGTTTACTCAATACTGTATATAGATTATATGTACATTAAACTATTGCTTCTTGAATATGATAATCTGCGGTGTAAGCGAAATTGGTCATGACTCATGAGGCTTCACAATAATCTTACTCCGTGTATACCATTCCATACGTACCTAAAACGTATCCCAAATCTTAATATTTAAACAGCCTTGTTGAGCGAATGGTTAATTAAATTCTAAATGTTTAACCACTATCATAGTGTAATGAATAGTTTATCGGACGTAGAAAAGACTAAAAAACGACATTAGCTTACTAAATTAATAGGTATATTATTTATATTAGAAGAAGATAAATAAATGTAAAAAAAATATATGGTGATAATTAATAATTAATTCTGAGTCGACACATTTTCACTAAATACTAATGCAGTTTTTTAATCAGTAACAGTTCACATTCTAGCAACTCAAATTTAAAATGAAAATCTTTTAGAAATATTTTAATTTAAAAGTTGCGTAAGATATACTAAAATGAAAATAATAATCATACAAATGTAAATTCTAGAATTATACAATAATAACATCTAATAAAGTTTTCTAAAATTTGATATTCTAAAAAATAACTTTCCACAACTTGCTTATCATATGTTTTGATGTTTCATGTAAAAATAAATAATTATATATTATTGTTGTAATGTTATTATGTTATTACGTATTTAGTTCATTTTGCACGAATCGAGCTTCTTTTCGTTTTTATTTAATATTTTATTAAAACATGATAATTTATTTTTATGTCATTTGAATATTAAAAGATAAAGTAAGAAACAATTTTACAAACGTTTTTATTTTTAACTTAATATTTGTTTCCATGATTAATATCCGTTGATGTTCTTAATTAGGTGTATTTATGAAGTTTAAAAACTATTTACACAATACGATATGTTAAAGTATTTAATTAATTAAATTTATTACTGTAAACAAAAGTTAATTGTCCGTATTAATTTCTGTAAGAACTTAAAGAGCCTACACAATTATATATCCAGGCTTTACTATAGTGCCTATTAGAAATAAGTAATAATTCACTATGCTCTACTGTGTATAAAAAACTTGAACAATAAACGTTATTAGTTTTTGATTTTAAATAGTATTAAATAATATAAAATGTGTCATCCATTATTATTGGAGTGAAGCTCTCTGGCTGGTACCTAGTATAAATAATAATTAATAGTTTAAAATATAATGCTAATAACATGATTGTGGGCATTACTTTCGTACACTGAACGCGACACATATGGTTATTGTGTACACGATAATATATATGTATATTATATATATTTATACTTGTATATATTACAGGTAGGTATATAAAATATATAATACATAAATAGACAATAAG